GAGGCTGTTGGCAGGGGCAGAAGCCAGGAAACTGGGTCCAGCTGTGCATGGGCTTCTGGGCAGGGAAAGGATCCCATCACTGGGAAGGAGCAGGGGGAGGGGGCGGAGCACAGAGGACCCCAGGATGAGTAGGTGGGAGGGCTGCTGCTGGATTTATCTTACAGAATTTTACCTTCAACTCTGACATAAAGCTGGATGTGGAAGACAAGGCCAGCAACGTGACCTTTGCTGAAAACAGGGATGCATTCATGCGTTTCAGAGATAGCCAAAATAGAGATGTAATTTAAAGTCAACAAGATATTTGATTAAGAAAGAAAACAATTGTTAGTTTAAGGTGTGCGTGTCCAAGCATCCAGTACAGAGGATGCCTTTATAAATGTTTGTTCAAGATGATTGCCTCGCAGCTCTCATTTTTGAATGCCGACATCTCTATCAGTGGGGTCTGTGGCGCGGCGTGCGATCAGTAGTGGCAGCGGATATGGACTCTGTTGGAAGGGACCATCTGTGAGTGTGGATAGGTATCCAGGGTTTGGAGTCAGAGCCAAATAAGCCACATCCCATGTGCTGGAAACAGTGCAGAACAGGACACAAACTCTCTCCCCACAAAGAGCCCGCCACTTGCTGAGGGGGAAGGAAAGTAAATATCCTTAGTAATACACTAAGTCCTACATGCAAGTCCCAGTTCTTCCACATATGCCTGTTGGGACCTCAAGCTAGTCATTTTGCCTGTCAATTTCTATAAAAGGAGATGGAAACTAGAAAGGTGATGAGGTGCCTCTGTTTCCCAGCGAGCCAGATCTGGGGAGATCCCACTGCAGGTTGCAGAGCTGGCTCAGCCTCCCTTGCAAAAGTCAGCCTCCCTTGCAAGGCTCAGCCTGTATCCATGCTGGGTCTGTCCAGGATAGCCCTGCTCTTGTCTTTCCTCGCACTGGGGCAGGAGAGAGCTTATATTCTACGGGACTCACTCTTGGGGCCCTTGTGTTCCTGGTGTGGATTAAGTCAACACTTCTCAAACATTTTGTTCTCAAGATCTTGTATGCTTTTAAAAATTATTAAGTACCCCAAAGAGTTTTTTAAAAATAAAATTTGTATCTATTTACCATATTAGAAATGGAAACACATTTTTATAATATTAATTTATTAAAAACAACAATAGCAAATCCATTACAGTTATGGTAATACAAATGACATTTTTTTTTTTTTTTTTGAGTGGAGTCTCATTCAGTCACCCAGACTGGAGTGCAGTGGCCGCTCCCTGCCACCGCAGCCTCGACCTGCTGGGCTCTGGCGATCCTTCCGTGTCAGCCTTCCAAGGAGCTGGAACTACAGGCGCGTGCTACCACACCCGGCTAATTTTTGATTTATTGTAGAGATGAGGTCTCGCCAAGTTGCCCGGGCAGATAAATACTGTTATCATACTTCTACCATCCTTATAGTTAGGAAAATGACCCTATAATATCAAAGAGTGTCAAGAAGTACAAAAAAAGTAGTCAGTGAAAGGTACAGACAACAGTCAGAAGGGCATCCCCAAGATGGCGCTGCCTCCCAAAGACAACAAAGCCCTAAGCGGTTTTTCCCGCCGGAGCGAAACTTAAACCTGTGCTCAAACAACCTCTTCCTATAGAAATGCTGCCTCATGGTCTCCTCCAGTGGGACCCAGGCACGGCGCGGGCCAGCCCCTACAAGGTTCAAGGTTCATAAATATACCCTTCTCCCTGCATGGCTCTCTCTCTCTTATTCCCTCTCTCTGTCCCCGCCACTCTCTTACTCTCTTTCTCTCTCGGTCTCTCTTTTTCTCTCTCTCTCTAAATCTCTTGGTTCAGACCAGCGTGGAGTCGTCACTGGTGCCAAAAACTTCTTTCAGTCAGTGCTGGGTTCTTAGGAAGATAACGTATGTTTTCAAGTAAGATGGTACTTTGCAAAATGTACAGCATATTATAAGAGAAATATCACTCTAGTAAATAGACTTGTAGTGGTCTGGCAGTTTGCAGCATGGTCAAGGTTTTTTTTCCCTTCCTTTGCTGAGTTTCAAAGTGTGACTGACTTTAGAGAGGAAAACAAGGATACTGAGAACAAAAGGGCAGATAAGAATCTGGATTTAAATAGTGTTATTTCCTGTTCCTACAAATATAAAGTGGCCTAAATGGTCCTTGGAAATTATACACAGATTGGCCTGAATTATCAAGATCTGGCAGTCTCTGGTGTATGAAATAAGGGAACTGGAATCTTTAATGCTGAAGGTAATGGGTTTTTGTTGTTGTGGTTGTTGTTGGAGTCGCACTCTGTAGCCCAGGCTGGAGTGCAGTGGTAACGCACGTGGCCATTGCTGTACTCAGGTGATCCTTTCACCTCGTCTTCCGAGTAGCTGGAACTTCAGGCTTGCACCACCACCCCGGGTAACTTTTTGATTAATTGTGGAGACAAGGTCTCTCCAAGTTGCTCAGGCTGATCTTGAACCCCTAGACTCAGGCAATCCTCCCGCCTCAACCTCCCAAAGTGTTGTTGGGATTATAGGCATGAGCCACTGTGCCTAGCGGGTTTGGTTTTTAACCAGAAGACATGGAGGGTTTTTCCTGGCTTAGGGGATAATTATTGGCATCTGTAAATTCTCTGGGCCTTCCGTCATTTTCCAATGGAGAAACCGTCACTTGCCAACCCAGCTGCCCCTATCCCCAAAAGAGTCTGTCTGGGTAGAGGATCTGCCTTTGCTATCGGCCCTGTGCTTCCAAGGAGGCTGGCGTGGCTTGCCTGCATCAGAATATGGGAGGGCTGCTCTCTGTCTTGGGAAAAAGAAGTTCTTTCTTCCTCTGAAATGTACCACATTCAAATGACTATTGGAGTGACTACAGCTGCTTGAGTCTGTGAGGGGAGCCAAGACGAGGATGAAGCTGACACATAGAGGGTGGATGGATCCACAGGAAAATGGAAAGAGCCCTTTGCTGTATCAAGGGAGTCACCTGGAACCAACCTGCCACCTTGTTTAAACCACTGAGGGAGTCAGACTTTTTCTAACTGATGCACCCTCCCTAAAGGAATTCACGTGATCTCAGGGACCCAGACAAGGAAGGATAGCCCAGGCAAGTGGGGCAGCCATAACCAACTTAAGGATCGATCAGTAGGATGTTTTTCTTATATGGTAGCATTTGGGCCTTAAAAAAATTTTTTTGGGGGGAGGAGATACACCTCATCAACAAGGGTACCTGCATAATGAACATTTATACGCTTAACCCAGAATTGTATCCCACATCTTTAAAATTAAAAATTAAAAAAATTAAAAATTAAAAAATAGAAAAATAAAAATAAATAAATAAAAATTTTTATTTCTTCTGTAGGATAAGGAGGTATTCTAAATTAAATGTTTGTAACTATGGTAAAATAGAGAAGAGAGCTGAGAAATCTGTGACATTTACAAGGTATGAAGCCTTGGCATTCTTTCCCACACCTTGAGCATGCAGGTGTGTGTCCTGCCAACATGAATAACTGATTTACTTGTGTGCTGTCCCCGCCAGACTCTAAACTCCATCATCCTTATAGCTGTGGCCCCTGGTGCAATGTGTCTGACCCCCATATCGAGTGCTACCCGTTATAGAGCATGGTTCTATGCCAGGAATTGTATTAATGGCTTTATATGCATTGTCTTAATAAATTATACAATGCGTACAACAGGTACTAGTAGAATATGTATTCTAATGATGAGAAAACTGAGGGGTGAGTGATAAAAATCAATTGCTTGGAGTCTCACAGCTAACATATGATAGACAGGGATTCAAATACAGGTCTGACTCAAAAAGTGCTCTTTTAACTAGTCTGTTCTCTGTCGTCAATGCATATTTGTTGAATACCTGACATTTGGATACGTTAGAATAAGAATTATGTATGTTCCTTTTGATTTTTTCATTTCATCTCTCACCCTTGGAGAATGTTTTGGAACAGAAGGCACATATGCCTCTTCTTGAGTATTGGCTCTTTTCTGGAAATAGACCTTATTGGAATATATCAGTTACAAATGCATTCAGTTGTAATTAATGGAAAGCCTAACAGTGAACACAAGTATCTGAACCAGAACAAAAGAAGGGGGTTTGTGTCCTTAGACTCTGGCTCTTCTCACAGCACTATCCCTCATATTTCTTTCTTTTTTTTTTTTTTTTTTTGAGTTGGAACCTCAGACTGGAGTGCAGTGGCCGCTCCCGGCCACCGCAGCCTCGACTGGCTGGGCTCCGGCAATCCTTCCGCCTCAGCCTTCCTAGTAGCCAGAATTACAGGCATGCACTACCACGCCCGGCTGATTTTTTTGATTTATTGTAGAGATGAGGCCTCGCTGCCCAGGCGGGTCTCGAACCCGCGGGCTCAGGCAATCCACTCACCTCAGCCTCCCAAAGGCGTGGGATTACAGGCTGAGCCACCGAGCCCAGCTTATCCTTCATATTTCTATCAAGTGTTTGTTATTATAGGTCTTCCAGATCTCCTACTGAGTTTATTCCTCTCATCCTCTTGAAGGAAGCTGAAAGGTCAGAACCCTCCAAGTATCTTGTGGATAGAAACTAAGCTCCAAAGATAGCCAAGTAACATGTCCAGGATTATGCCCTATGTTTGTTGAGAAATAAAACTATGGATCTCCCATAGTTGGACCAGTGTTCTTTTTTTTTTGAATTGGAGTCTCACTCTGTCACCCAGACTGGGTGCAGTGGCATGCTCACGGCCACTGCAGCCTCGACTTGCTGAGCTCTGGCGATCCTTCTGCCTCAGCCTTCCAAGTAGCTGGAACTACAGGCATGCTCCACAATGTCTGTCTAATTTTTTTACTTATTGTAGAGACAAGCTCTCACCAAATTCCCAGGCTGATTTCTAACCTGTGGGCTCAGGCAATCCTCTTGCCTCCACCTCCCAAAGTGCTGGGATTACAGGCATGAGCCACTATACCCAACTGGGCCAGAGTTCTTTTAACACATTCCATTGTTCTTTATAATAATGTAGTCTCCCCTTATATTCTTTCCATGTAGCCCAGAGCAGCAAGGCTCCTGCTCAGACACCTTGGGCTTTCAGGGGGGTAAGCCTAGGTACTTTGGCATCTGAGCAAGGAAGGCTCTGGCTCTCCAGGGACAACTGGGTGGAGCCCTACCTACATAAGAATATTGGTTCCTTCTGTGTCCCTGGGGAGAGAGGAACACCACCTGGTATGGCTCTGGGGAGTGGTGATGAGTGAATGCCCCAGAAACTTGAAAGTGAATGTCTATCTCCCAGGTTAATTTGACACTGTCTTTCATTGGGATTCCTGATAATTTTGATCCTATTCAGCATGATGTTCCTGCCTTCTTAAGCCAGTTCAGAGAGTGCTTGGTGTTTTCTGACACATTGGGGAACACATTGCCCAGCTTAGTATCTACGTGAATTGTGTGTCCAGTCTCCTTGGTAACAAAGCCTTGGTGTGGCTAGCACTGTGTTTAGGTGGTAGAATGAATTACTCTCCATCTTCTTCAGTTAAGCAATCTCTCCCAATGATATCAGAAAGGAAGATGAGTAGGGGATCTTTTTTTTCACCTTGGGGAAGGAGAAATACCTTTCTTGAGCTAAAGGTATCTACATAGTAAGAGTATGGCAATAAAATGGTAATGAAAGCAGAATAGTTATCATGTTTATAATACTTGAATATTTAATACATTTATTGATATACTTTTCTATCTTCCATGTGAGCATTTTTAGCAGTCTTCAGGATCGCAGCTTGTTTTCACTGGTTTTGTGGGCTCCCATATGTGTACTTTTGCAAACTCAGTCTCTATTTGGATGATGGGCATTTACAGCCAGGCCTGCTGCAAATGACTGTGTTGGATTTGCCCTTTGTGGTCTCTGATGGGTATGAATGGCGAGAATAATAACGTCAGACAAACTTAGGCTCCCCTATAAGGAGGATCATGACAGACCTGGGCTCTCGACAGTCCCTTTGCGGTGCCCTGGGCTGGGATTGTCATCAGGCAGCTTTTACCATCTTAGTTTTATTTTGTCTTTTGCTCTTGAATAGTTTCACTAAGAGGACAGTCTGCTACTTTTTTTTTTGTCTCTTCAGTGTGTTAAAAAAAAATACTGGGCCTGTTTGTTTTTTTCTAGCACATGTCTCATTTAGAAAGGCCATGAAGTTATATAGTAGATTTGCCATTACCCTGAGTGGTAATAAGGCAGCTCATTGCTGATGTATTGCTGTACAGACAACTTCCTTCAGGGTGACTGGGCTAGGAGGCAGCTGAAAACAGGCTGAAGGGTACCTGTCATGCCCACACACACACCCAACCTTTAACACAGAATGTGTCCTGAGAAATCACATCCAGAGTGCCAGACCTGAGGCAACTTGCTGGGCAGGTTAATGTAGATCTTATTCAGCTGACCCTACAGACTGGAAAAGGGAGGTGTCGAGTCTGATATGTTGAAGGCAGGCGGCTAGTAAGGTAGCAATTCAGTCTTTTTGGCTTCTACCCAAGGCCTATTTTTAAAAAGTGCTTGGCATGCAGGATCTATTGAATGCTCAGTAATTGAAATACCACAAATATGTTACTGCAGGGAGAAGTCGCTGTTTACAGGAAAATAAACTTTTACATCATTGTTCTCTGCCTGATGCTTATGGCCAAAAAAATTTACTTATGGTGGTCATCTCCTTACGAATGAGTGAAAGTGATTTTCAATGCCCATGGAGAAAGAACTGTAGAGCTTTTAACAGAGGACGGGAGCTGTAACTTCAGAATGTAAAAGTGTTTTTATTTGACCTACAGAAGAAACACACTTGTTTTAAGTTATCTAGAAAATAAAAGAACACACACACACAGATGACACAGTTGTGAAAAAGTAATATTGTCAGAGTGTGAACTATGTTCTCACTTTAGAAAATTCAAAAGCCTTGAAAATATAATTATTGACACATATTGTTAGATTACTTGAACTATGACAAAGGTTTTATTTCATCCCTACTTTATAAATACAAGACAGGCTTAAGGTTAACTTGCCCAAGGTTTCCTAGTGATAACTGGTAAAATCTAAATTCTAACCCTTCACTACTGGGTACAAAAGTCATATCACCTGGAGATAATGAATCTTAACATTTGGTTTGATTTTTTCTGAGGGTATATAATGAAAATTAGGACACAGAGTATGTAATGTTTTGTAGCTTGCTGCTTTCACTTAGCATTATATTCAAAAGATTTTTTCAATGTCATTAAGGGTTCTTTAAAAACATTTTAGGAGTCATTAAAATTCCATCAAATTGATGTGTCACAAGGGAAAAAAGTCACTTTAATATTTCCTTCATTACAATAATTATTTTAACAACTGGTCAAAAATCGGCATAAATTATTAGACTTCTTCTCTTTGAAGACATAGTCTCGGTTTTTTAAACTTGGTATGGTATTGCAATACTAGGAATGCAGTTCACTTGCTTAGTAGAGAGTTTTGTAGGGATATCCATTGTTAGTTGATTGTGACGATATTCCTAAAATCAACTCTGTGTAAGGAGCCATCTTATTTTATGTCGTGAGGGTGGGAGGCACTAACCCTCCCAAGAGGGGCACTGGGAATGTGGGTAGGGCCAAGCAGAAGTGTAAAGGAGGTGGCATTTTTAAGGATGGATGGCTGTGTAAAGTGGACATGAGGCTTTAAAGTGCCAAGCGTGTACTTGATGACGATTGTTAGCCTTTAATGGTGCAGTCAATCTCAGCCCTGGGAATGATGTTTCGAGGTACTGTCCTTGGCCTTTCCATGTATTCAAGTGAGCCTGATACTTGGCTTTACTACATCTGAGGCAAAATTTAACAGTTTAATTCCGAAAGTTTCATTGCTGTAGATAAAAAGTCAGTAAAAGAGTGAAGAATACAGATTTTTCTACTTTCTGGACCCCTGGGCCTGCTCATTTTCTATCTGAGTGTGCTACTCAGACAGAAACAGTTCTCAGTGTTCTTTGTCCTGGGAGAAGCAGGAAGTCTTGCATCGGCTGTCATTTGCTGGGTGGTTTAAGGGAGAACATAGGAAAACTGAAGATTAAAATCTTTCATTACCTTGTTTAATTTCCAGGGATGCCTGTGCTTGTTTCCACTGTGGAGACCCTTGTCTTTCCCCTCTAGCCTTTGTTCTCTCTTGGTGAGGAGAGAACAGTTCCTACAGAAAGAGTATAAGCATTTGTGTCATATAGTTCTTACATTTGAGTTTGGACTCACCCATTTACCAGCTGTGTCCATGGGCCTATAACTCTGGGAGCTCCATGCCCTAAACTGTGAAATGAACATGATAATACCCACAGCCCCAGTTCCTGTGAGGATTAAATGACACAATATAATGAGAAAGTTTCTAGCTCACAGCTGCCTCCGATGGATGGGCACATCATTTATCTTTCTTTCTATGCTGCCCCTTCTTGAACAGTGACCAAAGTGTTCCTAGTTTTTCCTAACTAGGAAAAGTTAAGCTTCTAACGGGATCTGATGCTTTATAGTGGTTAGGTGACTTGGGACAAGTTACTCACTCTCTCTGCCTGTAACTCATTGATAACATGGAAATATTATGTATCACATAGTGTTTCAACCTCTAAATTAAATGAGCTAATGTATGCTAAGTCACAATGCCTGGCACAAAGTGGGTACTCAATGACTGGTGGATATAACATATCTTAGAAGGACAGCCTTCCTGAGAAAAAGAGCCTCTTTTGGCTTCTTCTTTGCTGGCATCCTTTATTTGCTCCACTCACTGGCTGGAGAGATTTCTCAGAGCTCTATCCTTTTGTTCTGTACTTTGTACTTTTCCTTGGATGTTTCATCTACTTCTAAGGCTTCAGTTACCACTTTTAGATTGATAACTTCTAAATTTTTTCATAGCTTCAAACTAGTACATCCAGTTGTTTATATGACTGCACTTGGAACTTTGCTCAAAGTATACACAAAAATAACTATTATCTTTCACACTTCCTCAAAACTGTTCTTCCAGGAATTTCTCTCTACTCTACTTCCATGCTGTCTCTTCCATGCTTTTCCTCTTTTTCCTTCTTTCCATTCCTGCATGTAGGCAGCTAAATGCCTTTCAGTGCTGAGCCCTTTTAGTAGAGTGGAGTCCTTCCTCCAGGCTTTCCTGCCTCTGTTTAATAATGATGACATCAAAACTGTAATAATGATACGAGAGCAGTGACAATGAGGAAAGGTACCATAGTCACGTCATTTGTTGAGTATGTACAATGTGCTAGGCACTATCCATGCTACTCTAAGTCCTGGGTAATGTAGGACCCTGACATAGACCCATGTTGAAGAGACCTCAGAGACAAGGGAATGTTTCTACCCAAAGCCTGCTTTGCTCGCTCAGATCATGCCCTTGGGTACTTTAGACCTCAGAATTCCCTGCTCAATCTGTGTGAGCCTCCTTCCTGAAATCCCTATGGGACCTTCTCCCCAGCTCTATCTTTCAGAAGGATGCCACAGGTATGTGGATCCCTAGGCCCAAGGACTGGCCACCAGTCAGCTGCTAACAGGGGTGGTGTACTAAGATTGGCCTGCAGACTCAGGTGTCCATATTGGTGGCTGTGAGACCTTTTGAAGGCAGTGCAGTGCCTGGGATAAGTAGAGAAGGCGATTGGGACAGGAGCCTTCAGGAGAGCTGTAAATGTTAGGATGGCCCTGGGCAATCAGTTAGGAATCTGACTAATGCAGCTTCTTATCTAATCATTATAACACTTCTTGAGGTAGGTAATATTAGTTCTATATTTTTAGATAGAGAAAGCAAGGCTTGAAAAGGTAAAATACTTAATACACAGGTTGTAATTGGCAGAGCCTGAATTTGACCCAGATTAGTGTGACTTCAATATCAGCATTTTTTTCTTTGACAGTCTACATTCTATCCATTCTCTACATTGTAGCCAAGTTCCGTTTTGTAGAAAATGTCTGAGGTTACATTATTCCTGTGATTAAAAATCTTTCATTAGGTCCTTATTTGCAACTGGCTAAATGCCAGTGTCTCTGGCATAGCATACAAGATCTTTAAAACCTGGCCCAAATCTATGTTGTGAAACTTATATCTCACAGTCTTTATCCACCATTCCTTCCCCACCAGTCACTGTTTCCTGAACCCACTCTGTGCTTTTGCACCTACAACCTTAGCTGGGAGTGTCCTTTTCTTCTTCTTCACTTGGTTGACCAAGTCCCATTCTGTCCCTTCCAGT